TTACGAGGAGTACGACTTTATCGTAATATTTTACCATTTGATATTTTATAGGATTAATATATACGTGCAGAGTTCTCAATNTAATATATACCATATAAACCATTAATATATACCATATAAACCATTAATATATACCATATAAACCATTAATATATACCATATAAACCATTAATATATACCATATAAACCATTAATATATACCATATAAACCATTAAACTCAACATTGACAGACCAAATCTAAAAGTCCATATTCCGAACAATTATTATTTGATCAAGATAAAATAATATTTGATTTCTCAAGTTTCAGTTCACAAGAGACAAGCCTATCAGTCGATCCTGTACTTCAATACATTATTAAATATTTCAACCATTTAAGAAAATGGTTTATTTTGAAATGTCTACATTTCAAAATTAAAAACTATAGAAAAGGTCGGAAAAATGTTTAAAAACGAGCAAATAAAATTATAATTTTGAAATTCACAAAAATTCCAACTGGAATTGGAAGGATGGATTTTTAAGAAATGACTAAAAATGTTTTTGGGGAAAAGAAGAAAACATGCCTAACGACCAGATTTCGAAATAGTTTTTTTTGTTGCCCTAGCACTCTCATTTTTAATACTTTTACCGTGGAATTTTTTTGAAACATTTAAAAAAAAATGTTTATTCGATGAGTTTGAAAGAAATAAAAGATATATGATAGAGGGTGAAAATGTATCGTATATTTTGATTAGAGTACCGGGTTTGCAATGAATGTTTGTAGTATTATTTTTCAAAACTTCAGAACTCTAGCGGTGCTATTTAAAATAATTGCAAAAATACAGCGTAGGAAGTTGAAATTTTCTTATTTTTGGCCAATTTTAGCCAATTCTATTATTAATATCTCTTTTGTTCCCGGGGTTTTTAAATATGTAAATCATTATTCATAGGCCTTAATAAGGCCGGCGCGCAGGTTTCTGACATTCTGTAACCTACCCAAAGTAACCAGAGAATATTTAAAAAATTGAAAAATTACTTTTTTCTCCTAAGTAAGACAGCGTTATGATAATTGTGAATAAATAAGAGAAAAACATAAAGTAAACAATTGGGAAAGAGATTCCCCCCCTCTGTCAAAAAACATCCGCTTTAATCGTTTCTTCCTCTGTAATATTGGAAAAAGAGGGGTGGAATAAAAAACCGGTAAAAAAGAGCTGAGAGGAGAAATTGATAGAAAACTATAGTTGGGATGGAGATAGGGCTGGGCACGTTCCAACCTTTTCTAGCAGTTTCAGTAACGGTTAGTTCCAACCGTTAAAAAGAAAAGAAAAGGTACGGAAGTGAGAGCGATGAAAAGGTAAGGGAGAGCTATGGGAAGGTAAGGGAGAGCTAGGGAAAGGTAAGGGAGAGCTATGGGAAGGTAAGGGAGAGCTAGGGAAAGGTAATGGAAGGCTAAGGAAAGGTAAAGAAGGGAGAGCTAGGGAAAGCTAGGGAAAGGCAAGGAAGAGCAATTGAAATGTAAGGGAGAGCTAGGGAAAAGTAGGAAGGGAGACCTATGGAAAGGTAAGGGAGAGCTAGGGAAAGGTAAGGAAGGCTAGAGAAAGGTACAAAATGAAGAGCTATGGAAAGGTAAGGGAGAGCTATGGAAAGGTAAGGGAGAGCTATGAAAGGTAAGGGAGAGCTAGGGAAAGGTAAGAAAGGCTAGAGAAAGGTAAGGAAGGGAGAGCTAGGGAAAGGTAAAGAAGGATATGGAAAGGTAAAGAAGGGAGAGCTATGAAAAGGTAAGGGAGAGCTCGGGAATGGTAAATTATGCTAGGGAAAGGTAAGGAAGGGAGCTAGAGAAAGGTAAGGAAGGGAGCTAGGGAAAAGTAAGGAAGGGAGCTAGGGAAAGGTAAGGGAGAGCTAGGGAAAGGTAAATTATGCTAGGGAAAGGTAAGGAAGGGAGAGCTATGGAAAGGTAAGGGAGAGCTAGGGAAAGGTAAGGGAGAGCTATGGGAAGGTAAGGTAGAGCTAGGGAAAGCTAGGGAAAGGTAAGGAAGAGCGATGGAAATGTAAGGGAGAGCTTGGGAAAAGTAGTAAGGGAGAGCTATGGAAAGGTAAGGGAGAGCTAGGGAAAGGTAAGGAAGGCTAGAGAAAGGTAAGAAAGGAAGAGCTATGGAAAGGTAAGGGAGGAAGAGCAATGGAAAGGTAAGGGAGGAAGAGCTATGGAAAGGTAAGGGAGGAAGAGCTATGGAAAGGTAAGAAAAAGCTAGGAAAGGTAAGGGAGAACTATCGAAAGGTAAGGGAGAACTAGGGAAAGGTAAGAAAGAGAAAGCTAGGGAAAGGTACGGAAAGCTAGGAAAAGGTAAGGAAGGGAGAGCTAGGAAAAGGTAAATAAGGCTATCTAAATGTAAGGAAAGAAGAGCTATGAAAAGATAAGGGAGAGCTAGGGAAAGGTAAGAAAGGGAGATCTAGGGAAAGGTACGGAAAGCTAGGGAAAGGTAAGGAAGGGAGAGCTAGGAAAAGGTAACTAAGGCTATGGAAATGTAAGGAAAGAAGAGCTATGAAAAGGTAAGGGAGAGTTAGGGAAAGGTAAGAAAGGGAGAGCTAGGGAAAGGTACGGAAGGCTAGGGGGAGGTAAGGAAGGGAGAGCTAGGAAAAGGTAAAGGAGGCTATGGAAAGGTAAGGAAGGAAAAGCTATGGAAAGGTAAGGGAGAGCTAGGGAAAGGTAAAGTATGCTAGGGAAAGGTAAGTGAGAGCTAGGGCCGGAAAGATTAGGAAGGCTAGGGAAAGGTAAGGAAGGAAGAGCTATGACGAGGTAAGGAAGGCTATGGAAAGGTAAGGAAGGCGAGGGAAAGGTAAGGAAGAGGGAACTAGAGAAAGGTAAGTAAGGGGGAGAGGTAGGTTTGATTGAAATGTTGGAAGAAACGCTGTCTAACTCTCAGACCCTCTCCAGCCTTCAACCTGGTAACACGAGGTATTCAACGCTCTCAACATACCGCGTGAAAATCTATATTTTATATCTTAAAGATATAAGTTCTTGTACATCATAAAGATATATTCTTATACATCTTAGAGATGTTAGTTCTTCTGCATTTAAAAGATTTATTTAAAGATAGTAGTTCTTTTGAATACAGTATCACATGGATTTATTCTCATATAACGTAGAGATATTAGATCTTATGAGATTTATTCTCATTTTTCTTAGAGATATTCTATACAAGATTTATTCTAATATATCGTAGAGATATTAGATATTGTGTATTATAGAGATTTATTCGCATACATCTTAGAGATATTAGATCTTGTGTATCATGGAAATTTATTCTCATATATCTTAGAGATATTAGGTATTGTGTATCATAGACAAATTAGATCTTGTGTATCATAGAAATGTATTTTCATACATCTTAGAGATATTTGATCTTGTGTATCATTGAAATTTATTCTAATATATCTTAGAAATATTAGTTCTTGTGTATCATAGATATTTGTGTGTATCGTCGAGATAATAATAATTTTTCTCTTTTATACCTTAGAAATATATGTATAAAAACCTTGCTACATAACTTAAATTTATGTTCTTGTAAATCATTTCGAGATATTTCTTTTAATCTCATACATTTTAGAGAGTTTAGTCATGTGTTTGTTGTCTATTCTGAACCAATAGAAATAGTATGGCGGTAACATCTATCTCTCTATCTATCTCATTATCCAATCTCAAGAGTATTGGACAAAATAATGATTTATTTTTGCGTGAGATTGTGCACATTTTGGATCACTGTGATGTATTCCTTTAACATTTCTTTTTATATTTATTCGTCTTCAACATTCAGTTAAACCACTCTTTCCTAGAATATATCTAGCTTCTTAATCATACCAAGGGGTTCTAAGAAAAACTTATATATGTATCTCACGTATTAATTACTTAGGCATAATTTATTTTTAAACCTTTTCTGGCTTTACTTCATCCTTTAAATGTTTCAGAATAAGGAAATGTTCTAGTTTGAAGAATTAAAAAAAAATATCTCGAAAAATAAATCAATTAAAGCAAGCCTTTATTTAATTCGCTTCCTAAAACGTGATTTCAGACAGATTATTGAAAAAAGATTTTATTCGATTTTAGGACAATTGTTTTCGACAAAGAGCTCATAGTGAAATTAAGCGCAATAACTAATTTTACAATAAGTTCCTAAACTTCAGTTGTGTCTGAACCACTTTATCTATGTATAAACGTAAAACGGCCGAACCGATCGAGCAAAATTTTTAAGGCAACTTACATGACCCCAAGGAAGATGTATGGCTTGTCTCACTTGACAAACTTTACTCGGAAAAAATGTCGAAATTTATAATTTTTGAAATTGTAACAGTTTAAACAGAAAAATTAGAGAATATTTGAAAACCATTAAAATGTCTAGTATATATCATATATATATATATTTATAAATAAATGCATAATGCAAATTTTTTGTATTTAGTATAAGTCAGACATTATTTCTGTCTGCATAAAACTTTTGTAACACGCATTAGTGGTTAAATAATCTTGTTAACTCTACTTTTCTGCTTTCATTGAAGTTAACCCACGGCGCTTTAATTTATAGCAAGAATATATATACAATATTATTTACAAAGGAAAGTAATTTTCTTTATCTAACCTTAGAGATGGAAGCTTAATATTTGAAACAAAATCTGACAAATATTAAATAGATTAATAACAACAACAACAACAATGTTTGGGAACATTTTCTTGCGTTCAAATTTGTCCAAAAAAATATTGTTTTCGTAAAATATTGTGTTATAACGGAGTATTGAATACTTCGGAATAAAACGATATCTTAATCAGTAATTATATATATTTGAAATAGAAATCCGATGAAGCATGAACAATCTTTTTATTATTCTTCTTATGAAATATTCAATAGTTTAAGAAATATATAAAAACTGGTATTTATTGTTATTGATGTAGGAAGAGTAGTAATTTTGTTTGAATGATTAATAGGCTGATCAATTAATTGATTAATTGATTATTCAAATAAGTATTTTTTAGAACCTACTGGAGTTGAAAGGAAAAGACTTCCAGTGAAAAGTGAATTTTGTTCTTGAAAGGAACCGGATATATACTAACAGGTAGGAAGTAAATCATTTATCTATTTTTTTTAGAAATTTCCTATTTTAAATTTTTTTTATAATTTACCTCATTGTACATATTTATTATCATTAGTTCTACTTTTAATCAGTTTTTAAAACACGTTTCATCATATAAATACATCATATCATCATCATATACATCTTGCAGGACATTTCGTAGATAAGAATGCCAAAGAAATGTACGACATTCTATAGACAAGTATTCGATATTTCTCAAAATATATTAAAAAGAAGAAAGTGTTAAATAAGCAAATCTTTTTTTTACTTTGACATAAAATCATTTCTGAAGGAGCTATGAGGTCACACAAGTCTACCAGTAATTTTGCATAAAGAAATTGAGTCTTAACCACAAACGCAATTTTATAATCCCTATATCTTTGCAACACGATGGTGTACACCTTTGATTTTTCAAACTTGGATTATTTGATCTCCAACAGAAATCAAATTTAAAAAAGCTAAGGTCTACGACATTGGGCTACAAATATATATGGATTAGGAAATCAGAGTTTGTGGTAAATACTCAATTCCGTTGTCCTTCCATTGCGTCTATAGATAAAAGTGATAAATATGCATGATATACCAACATAAAAATAAGTTTATAACTTTTCCCTTTCTCTTTTCTGCCTGGCGAAGCATATCCTTCCTATCCCTATATTTACAGATACTTGGGTGCATAGCTTAGTTAATGAGTATAATAAATGGTTTGATATATGCATATATAGTAGATGTACTAGAGATTAGTACCGCTATGTGTTCTCTTAATTCTAGAATTAATTAGAATGATTCGCAACAAGATCTAATCCGACCTAGATAAAATAGAAGGTTTCTCGACTAGATTTGGTAGATTAAAGCATATATCGAGATAATTTATCTCATAGATGTATAGTAGATCAAGAAAGCATTATTTCTACTCCTAGATAAGAAACGCAAGCATCTCTTGATATATAGTAGAGATAACATTCAATATCTCCTAAATAAAGTAGATTGAGAAAGCATTATTTCTACTCCTAGATGCAATAGAGAATTCAACTCTCGATATATATCATAGATAGCATCCGGCCTCTATCTCCTAGATTTGTTATAGATTGAGAAAGCATTATTTCTACTTCTATATAAATATTGTAGAGATAGCATCATTTTTCTCCTATATATATTGTATAGATATATAGTAGACCGTAAAAGCATTTTTCTGCTCTTAGATATAGTTGAGAAAGAGTATCTTTCTACTCCTAACTAAAGAAGAGAAAGCTTCTTTCTACTCCTATATACAGTAGAGAAAGTTTTTTTCTACTCCTATATTTAGTGGAGCAAGCTCTTTCTAATCCTAACTAAAGAAGAAAAAGCTACTTTCTAATTCTATATACACTAGAGAAAGCATATTCATCTCCTATATACAGTAAAAAAGCATCTTTATACTCCTATATACAATAGAGAAAGCTTCTTTCTACTCCTATATACAGTAGAGAAAGAGCATTTTCTACTCCTATATACAGTGGAGCAAGCATCTTTATAATCCTAACTAAAGAAGAGAAAGCTTCTTTCTACTCCAAACTAAAGAAGAGAAAGCTACTTTCTAGTCCTAGATATAGTAGATAAAGCTTCTTTCTACTCCTATCTACAGTAGGGAAAGCATCTTTCTGCTCCTATAAACAGTAGAGTAAGCTTCTTTCTTCTCCTATATACTGGAGCAATTTCTACTCCTAACTAAAGAAGAGAAAGCTACTTTCTCGTCCTAACTAAAAAATAGAAAGTCTCTTTCGACTCCTATATACAGTAGAGAAAGCATCTTTCTTCTCCTATAAACAGTAGAGAAAGCTTCTTCATACCACTTATTATAAAGTAGAGAAAGCATCTTTCAACTCTAATATACGGTAGAGAAAGCTTCTTTCTACTCCTATATAAAACAGAGAAAGCGTCTTTCTACTCCTATATACGGTAGAGAAAGCTTCTTTCTACTCCTATATACAACAGAGAAATCTTCGTTTTACTCCTAGATTCAGCAGATGAAACTTCTTTCTACTCCTATATACAGTAGAGAAAGCTTCTTTCTACTCCTAGATTTAGAAGATAAAGCTTCTTTCTACTCCTATATGCAGTAGATAAAGTTCCTTTCTACTCCTGTATACAGTAAAGAAAGCATCTTTCTGCTCCTTATTATAAAGTAGAAAAAGCCTCTTTCTACTCCTATATATAGTAGAGATGGCCTCCCATATCTCCTAGATACTGTAGAGAAAGCATCTCTCTACTCCTAGATAAAAAAGAGAAACCGTCCTCATTGTTTTGTCCTAATCTACAAACTATCTCATTTCCTGGTTAATGTTTCCTTTAGTTTCTTGTTTTAATTCCCACCACAAATTTATCTTGGCTTTTTATTATTTTATTTTTTTAACATTAAACTAATTCTTTATGTTTTAATTCTTCATATTTTAATATAATTTTAATCCCCCCTATCAAAAATAGCTATGTATACAAAACAAACATTAAAGAATCCTTTCCACTCTCTCTCAAAATTTGTCTTTTTGACTTCAATTCTTAAAACATACACTTGTAAAGGTACTTGCCCCTCCCTCTTCCTCTTCTATCCTGCAACACTTCTCCTACCCAATTTACCCCCCCCCCCCCCTCCTCCCTCGTGAAATATCTCTAAAGGTTCAAAGGTCTGAACTCCAGAGAAACTGATTACTGTAAATGTTCTCTCCCTAAAGCTCTCTCTCTCTCTTATTAGCTCTCTATTCCTCTTATTCAATCACAATTTTATTTTTTGCAAACCCTTCCCTTTTTAAAGTATATTTGATTCATATTATCATTCTGACAATTTCCAACATTATCTTTATAGCTAAATACGCAAGTAAATTAGAAAGTGAAACCACACTTGAAAATTATCAGTTTTTTAAGAGGAAAAGAAGGATACCTTATTCATCCTTGATAAGAAAAATGTTTGAAAGGTACCGTTAGTAATCGGACATTCCACTATGAACGGTTGGGTAACTTGAAATTACTTCAACCATCCCTTCCAGTTTGCAATAAAATATGCTGACCAAGTCCGATTACGTTTATAGTCCGATTTGTCTGCGATACCTTTCATTTTTTGCGTTTAAGTCTCCCACTAAATCCCCATCATACCTCTTAAGGGTGGATACCATCATACCGAGATGCAGTTCTGTTGGTATAAAACATTAAACGATGGTTTCTAGATACTTTTCTCTGCATCAAGTCTAGGTGTACTTAGCTTTATTAAACTTTCACATGGTGGTAACTGCATTAGCTTCATCACGAGGAATTTATCGGTATTTTGTAATACACGTTTTCCCACCAAGATAAATGATTAGTATTATGTCATAGATACTTAAAGATTTTAAAATTCTAACAATTTAGAAAATTATTCTGATTTAGTCTCGAATTAGTTTGAATTATTGCTTGGTAAAATACTGGTTGGGTTGGTTATTATTCCTTGCAGAATTAGTTGGTTTGATTGATAGGAAACTATACATTAGTTCTGCACTAGAGGGAATCCTCCTAAATTCAACAGATGGGGGGTGCCTCAGGGATCTGTTCTAAGGCTTACTGTAAATATAAGGATATACATCCATACAACTACAGGTTTAGAAAATCATTTCTCTCATCTTTAAAGATATCTTTACGACGGGCATGCTTGGTTAAATAATGTACTTTTATATAAACTATGTAGATACATTTTTAAGTAAAAATTAAGATTTTAAAATAACAGATTACGATTTATTCACGTCTTAGGCTTTTAGTTTTATAGTTTACAAGATATTGCAGGGTGTGTATTTAAGTTAACACTGCAGCCACGATAATAGGTTTAATTTGTAGATTTGCAGATTCACAAGTTTACAGGTTTGCAAGTTTTAGTTTACACGCAGGTTTAAAGGTTTAAATTCTTACTGGTTTACAGGTTTATAGGTTTACATGATTATGGACGGGCTTGTATATTCATAGGTTTAGAAATTAGGTCTTATGGTCGTAGGTTTATAAGTTTTACAGGTTTAAATGTGTATAGGTTTACAGGTTTTCAGGTTTACAGGTTCACAGGATTATAGGTTTACAGGGTTACAGGTTTACAGGTTTACAGGTTTAAAGGTTTACAGGTTTACAGGTTTACAGGTTTACAGGTTTACAGGTTTACAGGTTTACAGGTTTACAGGTTTACATGTTTACAGGTTTACAGGTTTACAGGTTAACAGATTTACATGTTTACAGGTTTACAGGTTTATAGGTCTACAGGTTTACAGGTTTACAGGTTTACAGGTTTACAGGTTTACAGAATGTTTAAATGTGTTAAGCAGCTAGCTATTTTTCTACATTGCTATTTACATTAGTTTTAAATTGGCCAGAGTTTACTATAAAGATATTTATCTAGCTAACTAGCTCTCATGCTATTCTTTTTTTCTGATTTATTACATTTAGTAATATCCTAACAGCTATCGAGAAATATTTGTAATGTTTTGTGATTTATTTTTGAAAATAGTGCTGATTAGACTCCAATACGGATATGTGTTGTTAGTTAGCAATAACAATAAGGATCAGTATTTGCCAATAATAGGATGAATGTAATTTAAGTGACATACGACCTTTTTACAAGTTTACAAGTATAGTATAGGTGTTCATTTTTTTTGTTAAATATGCTTACAACATATCTGAAATTTTTTTTTGAACATCCTTTCTTTATGTAAATGCAAAGGATGAGTCTTTTCCACAAACTCAAATTTTCTAATCAGTATATCTTAGCAACTTGATGGTGCAAACCTTTGATATTTTAATTGTTTAATCTACAAGAATTCATTATTTGAAATATCCAAGGTATACGGCATTTTGTTGCAAAGATATAGGGATTGTTTGTGACAAAGACTCAAATCCTTTTCATCTTTTTTTGAATGTCTCAAACACCAAGAGTCTAGTAAAATATATCATTTAAAGGGAGTATGAAAGTAATTCCACGAGACTCGCCAATTATTTAG